TTTTTTCGTTTCGAGCAAAACTCACTACAGTTGCGTCGGAGCCTGCGTTTCGCTCGAATAAACGAAATTAATGGCGGTAACTTTTTGGAAAATATTCTTGGTGTCACGCGAGAAACAACGCGGTATGGCGCCCGAGTTCACGCATCCGAGCACCAAAAAAGATTTGCCCGGCTTAACTAAATGGCGGTCACGGGTTTGCAAATAAATATCCGATTACTGGGAATGATTTATTCCGCCACGCGATCCGCCAGAGAATTAACCGAAAAAAGGAGAAAAAAAAAGGGAGGGAAAAAACGAGCGGGTCGGTTGTAACGTTGCTAATTCGCGGAATCGGGTAAAGCCCCGTGCACGATAAATTTGACAAACAGCAAGCTTTCTACTTTCCCCTTTATTTCCGATTACGCGGAGTTAAGTTCGAACGTGATAATTTATCTGCCACGATCGTCCATTATTGTGTAGTGCTTGAGATACAGCTTGAGATCTCGTTAAATACTCGAGCACTAAATATTGAATTATTTTGTAAAATGGAATTCTACACTAATAAACTTGAGTTCATCTCAAACCTTGAAGCCTCTACTTTCAAAATGTGCGATTCATTTTATTCCGAAATGGTTTTTATATTACGTGGCGGATGGGTCAGTGAATATGCATACTTTTCTTATCGAACATTGAAGTTTCCCTTGTACAACTACTTCCAAAAACTTGATGCTTTTTATAATGATTCTTCGTTATCTTATTGAAATTTTAGGCTTAGATGATTGAAAAATTCAAGAAATTTTCGTCATTATATTCATTTTCACTTGACATTCAAAATTCAATAAATTGAGAAAAAAATTCTACTGTCATAATTTTGATTACATTGGTAAAGTGGTGCCAAAACCGACGTAGATATGTAATGTTATTATAAAAATATTCCTGTTCTCATTTATTCAATATTTCAGTTTATTCGAAGTAATTCGTTCTTCTGAGAACATCGTGCACTGCGATGTCAACACGACTAACTTAAAACATTCCAAATTACTCCCTTGCCTTATGATTTTCTTTTCAAACTTCTCAAACAAGCATCAGTTATTATAATTATCACGTTGAAACGCAAAATATCGAAACATCGCATGTGATTTGTACTTTCCAATTTTCAAATTTAAACGTAAAGAAAATTTAAACATGAAATGGCTAAAATTCTTTGTTTTTCAAACCAAAACCGTAATTATCGTATCACGAACGTGACAAGCGGTGTTTCAAGGCAAGAAGATAATTTTTCCAAGAATGACAGAAAGAAAGAAAAGTGGGCGAGTCACTATCTTGAACTTCCAAAAACAATGACGCATCCCACTATCTCATCAACAAGCATGAACGATTCCACGGGTATCGTTGATGTTATGTTTGTTTTCAAATTACTGAAAAGCTTAAAAGGACAGAAGAAGGTGGAGGATTCACGTCTCAATAACAGAAAGAAAGAAAAGTGGACGGTTCACATCCTTGAACATCCCAAAACAATGACACATCCCACTATCTCATTACAAGCAACGATTTCACAGGTATCGTTGATGTTACAATCGTTTTCAAATTACTGAAAAGCTTAAAAAGACAGAAGAAGGTGGAAAATTCACGTCTCAATAACAGAAAGAAAGAAAAGTGGGCGGTTCACACCCTTGAACTTCCAAAAACAATGACGCATCCCACTATCTCATCAACAAGCATGAACGATTCCACGGGTATCGTTGATGTTACGTTTGTTTTCAAATTACTGAAAAGCTTAAAAAGACAGAAGAAGGTGGAAAATTCACGTCTCAATAACAGAAAGAAAGAAAAGTAGGCGGTTCACACCCTTGAACTTCCAAAAACAATGACGCATCCCACTATCTCATCAACAAGCATGAACGATTCCACGGGTATCGTTGATGTTATGTTTGTTTTCAAATTACTGAAAAGCTTAAAAAGACAGAAGAAGGTGGAAAATTCACATCTCAATAACAGAAAGAAAGAAAAGTGGGCGGTTCACACCCTTGAACAGCCCAAAACAATGACACATCCCACTATCTCATTAACAAGCAACAACGATTTTACGAGTATCGTTGATGTTACGTTCGTTTTCAAATTACTGAAAAGTTTAAAAGGACAGAAGAAGATGAAGGATTCACGTCTCAATAACAAAAAGAAAGAAAAGGGGGCGGTTCACTTCCTTGAACATCCCAAAACAACGACACATCCCACTATCTCATTAACAATCAAGAACGATTCCACGAGTTTCGTTGATATGTTCCTTTCCAACGTCGAAAATGGCTGAAAAGGTTAAAAAGGCAGAAGAAGGAGGAGGGTTCTCACCTGCAGCTGCAGCTGCAGCAGCCGCGGCCGCCGCGGGGTACTGCCATAAGGTTGGCGGCCATGCGGCAGTGGCAGCGGCCGTGGCAGCAGTGGCCGCGCTCGCCGCCGCACCGATGCTACCCAACGTGGAATTTAGGCTGGAATTCAGGCTGGAATTCAGGCTGGAGCCAAGAGCGGCGTTCAACGAGGGTGCCAGGGCTCCCGAGGGAATGGCAAGGTGGGCCGGTCGGTCCTCCCCTCCAGGTCCTCCGCAATGCACCAGGGTCGCACCGCCTACCGCCATGGCCGTGTTCGAACCTAACAACAACAGGGCCCAGTCAGATGCATTTCCATCCAGATGACGAGATTAGGATAGCCGTACACGCTTATTGTTAACTCTGTTATTGTACGATTGTCATTGTGTTCGACGTTCAATGTCCACCAGTCGTATTGACTGAATCGTCGGTGTATATTTCCGATAAATCCGACGATTTCGTGCTCCGATTTTGGGGGTGGTTTCCAGTTTGGCGAGATAGGGGCGATAAGGATGTTCGTGAAATATGGTTGTGGGTGTTTTTGTTCAATGATCGGGGAGGATTGTTCAAAGGAATTGATAGATTTGGCAATGGGTTTTGCTCCGATTTTAAGGGTTGTTTAGGAAGAACGAGCGATAGAGATATTCGTTGAAATTGATATAGGTTTGTTCAGTGATCGTGGCGAGTTCTGATTCGAATAGAATTGGAAGAGCTCGTTGCTCGTGCTCCAATTTCCGGGGATGGTTTTGAATTTGGTATGATCGACTGGTAAGAATATTCATTGACATGGTTACAGATTGTTTTGTTCATAGTTGATGATTGTTCAAACGAATAAAGTAGAATTGAAATATTCGTGCTCTAATTTCTCGGTGATTGTTTCGAGTTTTTAAAAAATCGAGTATTGAAAATATTCTTAAAAATAATTATCGATCGATCAACGCTCATTACGGGTTGTTCAAACGAATAAAATAGAATTGAAGACGTTGCGCGTGCTCCGATTTGTAGGATGAAAGTTGAGAAGATTAAATAATAAGAATATCAATTCAGATGATTCGAAGTTTGTTGAATCCTTACTAATTTTGAATAATCTAAGCGAATTAAACAAAATCGGACATTTAGTTGCTCGTATTTCGATTTATAGCGTTTAATCGAAATTTAATCGAGGTAGTTTGGAATATTGCAACTCGTTATCATAGAGGTTTAATAGTTCTAGTTTAAAAATAAAATAAAGATAAAATTTCATATTTTCATTTTATTTGGTTTTAAATCGGTCATAGCGACGCAAACAACATTCTAAAGTTGAGTCATTCCGAATAATATTTAACATTCAATGCGTCTCAGGTGAAAGTTGAGACGTGTAAAAGTTTTCACTGCTTGACACGATGAAACTTACTACGTTAAAACGCGATTTATAAAGTCTCTATTTCTAAAAAAAATTCTTGTTCTTTTAATAAATAAAAAACCACCCGCATTTCAAAAAAAACCTTCATATAAAAAATAATAATTCGAAGTAACATCAAGTAAATTTTTCACTTATCACTCTCGTTACACTCTATACCCTACAACAGTACTATAATCCATTCTTTTTTCTTCCTGTGATTAAATTTCTGCTGAAACCTTATTTACAATTCTAAAAGGAAAAAAAAAAAAAGATTCTGAGACCCTCCAATTCCGAAAGAAAGTTTCCAAACAATCCCGAAACATCGTTCGTTTCCATCGTTTCGACGATTAACAAAATTCATGCTAAAAATCGACTCGAAGAAGACTGGAGGAAGAGTTGAATTACGCTGGAGTGATGACGATTCCTGGAACGATAAGAGACACACAGCGTGTTTTGCTGGCTGTCAAGCCTATTTTCGTCTCTATATGTTCAACGTTGCCATTTTATCTGGCTCGTGACAATGGGATAGTGCATGCCGGGGGGTGTGCAACAATGGAATAGTGCGCTGCGGATACTATTTCAGCATTGTGCAACAAGGAACAAGTGACGGCTACGACGAAGATTCCTGTCTTCCTGTGTCAGATACAACGGTCGTCTTCATCCTCATTTATCTTCGTCTCGGTCTATGATTCATATCCGAACTGGGGGTGAGATCATACCCGGTGCCATTATCCGTGATCGATTCGAGTAAGTAATCGCCTCGTACGAATTTACGTACGTGTAGTTTCTCGACTTTTAGTAACTGTATCTATCTCTTTTTTTTCTTCGTTGTTGTAGGAATGTGTACGTTGAATTTGATTACGACGAATGATACAATTTTGAAACGTTTCGTGACATTATGTGTTTAATATTAAAAGTAGAAAATATCGTGTAATAAATATTTGATACACATTAGAAAGTAATTTTATTTTATTATTAGACACATGTATCTCTCATAAGAACGCGGAGTCACGATTTTAAATATTGCGACAAATTGAAAGTTCCTCTGTTTCAATTAGATATTTTCGCAATTAAAGAGATAATATCTCCTTGATCTCGTTCGAAGTTAATTGCGAGAATATTTATTTGAAGCAGAGAAACTTTCAATTTGTCACAATATTTAAAGTCGAATTTAAAATGTCACTGAGAAATGGCAATGTCTACGCTGAAAAACCCAAATTTTCCAGTTAATATTTCCCGAAAAGAAAGTCAAATAATATATGACACTTCAGATTCTCTTTTCAAAAACTAATCTTCTCTCTTCAAGAACAACCTTCTCTATAATCCCTTTTTGAAACCTTCAAGTCCTCTCTTTCATTCCAAAACTAATATTCCGTCTCCCTTTCTTTTTTCCTAAAAATACCCTCCTCTTCGTTAATGTCGAGCGAACGTTAATTAACAAGAAAAGAAGGAAAAACTTTTGTTTCCCTAAAATTCCCTAAAACACCCGGCTCATTTCCATCCGACATCTTGCTACGATTGGGAATATTTCTACCCGAAAGGAACGGATAATAATCGCCGTCGCGATTTCACTGCGAAATTATTCACGTCCAGAAAAATCCCGGCCTTGGTCTCGTTCCGCGACGAACGACCCGTAACGCGAGTCGCTCGCGCGAAAAAGTATCGATATTCCACGCAACGATTGCACATCCTCCGATACATCCGGGGAGATCCACGGATAATCACAAGGGAAGAATCTCGCGCAATGCAGCTACAAATACTCCTTCTTCTTTCGTCTCTCTGACTTGGTGCTGTTTTTCTCTTTTTTCCTTTTACTTGTCGTGTCGTTTATTTCTCGTGATCTAGCGTTAATTACTCGATAATTAAAATACAGACACTAATTACTAGACTCGGAACGTTCATACAATTTTATATCTTTGCGAGGAAGCTTCAAGAAGTAATTTCGTTAAATCTACTTTCTCATATTTTCTTACATGCACTTTGTCCAAATTTTTTGTATCTTGGATATTTTAAACATCCATTGGTAATTAATTTAAATATCAAACTCTGGTAATTATGATATTTTAATTCTATTTATATATCAACTGGACTTTAATTAGTACTCGGTTAAACTAATTTTTTTAGTTGTCGAATCGAGTTATTTGAATTCGTCAGTTCTCATTGCACGAGAGTCAATAGATGTTTATTATACAAATTTCGATCGTATAAAGTAACTAAATTGTATGAAATAACTTCCAAGGAAAAATTGTTGTCTTTTAATCTTGAACAAACACGGAGCAGAAAATATCTCAATTAGGTCATCTGAAAGTACTTTTATTTCGCTAGCTTGCGCTTCCAAAAAAAAAAAAAAAAAAATAGCAACGAAATCGAAAATCTCGTGTCGCCGAGACTGCTGCGCGGATCGTTTCCAAGTGATAACAAACATCTGTTACCAAGATATCGCACGATGCGACTTATACTGTTTTCGTATCTGAAGTCATCTCTTCCAGTCATCGTTTCAGCACGTTCTGGATGGTCGTAAATGATTTCGACGTAACTTGCAAGTGTAATTTTCATAAAATAGTTTCTTCTTTTTTTTTTCAAAACAACTCTCATAAAAATTGAAGCTCCAAAATTTAAAAATCCTTCTTTTCATCATTGCGATATTCTTCGTTCTCCGAGCTTTGAAAATTTATCATCATTCTTCAGTTCGCAGTTAATTATATTCGCAACTATATATTGAAAATCCAACGTGCTACACGTGCTGGGAATATTGAAACCGCACTGGTAGATAATTTCGATATATTGGAATTTGCAAGTCGCTTTCATATGAAATAATTCTAACAGACGGTCGGAGCTTCGAAATTTTCAAATTCAAAAACGTATTAAAAAATCTCCGGTGCGAAATTAATCATACCTCGCCATTATATTTGAAAGGTTATCGTATTACGAATATTAAAATTGCAATATCGCAACCCGATAATTTCGACGTGTCAGAAATTTACAGATTCCTTTCGCAAAATGAAATAATTATCGCCCAAAGTCCAAAGTAATTCTGCAAATCGAAATTCTGAAATTTCAAAATCTACTTCATTTTTCATCGATTAAAGAAAAAAAAAAAAAAAGAAAGACGTATTAAAAATCCTTCAGTTCGAAGTTAATCATACTATTTATTATATTTGAAATCTTATCATATTACGAATATCAGTATCAGAAATTTACAAATTCTAACAAAAAGTCGAAACTTTCTTTTTTTCATGAAAATTGAAAATTGACGAAACAATTATCGCAAAGTATCAGAACGAAAATTCGACGATCCATCCCAACATCGTCTAGTCTTTGTTCACCTGGCTACAGAAAAGACATTTGTTATCAAGGAAATTAAAAATTCTTCAGTTCGTAGTTAATTACATCGGCGGATCATGCTTGAAAAATAAAATAAAAAAAACGCGGTGCGCTACACGTGTTGCGAATATTAAAATTGCAAACGGGGAAAGGTTTCGTCCCGCGGCCGGTAGTAATGAATATTTCAACGAAACGTTAATTAATTTATCCTGGCTGGCAACTTTTATCGATATCCTCGCTCTTTCGAGCTTTCGAAGTTTCCTCTTTACAGGTTTATCGCAGACTTCACGTCGTTTCCAACGTCACGTTTACCTCGGGCAGCCACCTTGTACATCGTCTATCTCTCTGAATCATGCACCTGCCGTAAGAATGGAAGCTCCTTCGCGATATCAAGGGACAAGCGATTTCGCACGCGCTCGTGTAATATATATTTATTTTAATAATAATCGAGAAAATTTTGCGCCGTGACAAGCTAAATATTATTCGAATCATTGAATGTCACCTGTAACATGACATGTGTGTTTAAATTTTATATTCGACGATACACTATCTCGTCTAGATTGTATGTTTAATCTCGT